CTTATTCTTTATTAACTGTCAAACTGTATGGAATGAGTCGGTATGTTGAAAATAGATAGCCAGTCTGTCCTTTGAAGAGTTTTTTCAACCTAGTTCAGTTAATTCTGATTTCTCATTAAAAATTAAAACTGTTCGTGTTTATAGGGGTTTAACAGTATCGAATGTTTTCAATGTATTTCAGAACAAAACAATGATCATGCACGGTCAATATGGCGTCAGCGTGATTGTACCGGGGAGATAACTCTAAATCAATTAAATGTCAACAACAAGAGTGAAATATATTTAGTATATAGTAATCCCCTATGCATGATCAAAGGAGAAAAGCATCTTCCACATGTTGGTATTTAAACAATAAAAATATATACCACTATATATCTAACGCCACCAGCAGCTAAATTTACCTACCTTAAATCATTTTCAACATTAGTTTCTTTCTGTTCCTATTTAGATTGGTTTACGGCCGACATCAATGTCATTGTGCCCTATTAAACCTCTAGCTTTTCGATCAAATGATTCATACATCTTGTATTTTTACATCGGCTGGATCAAAGGAAACCAAAAGTGAGTCTTTAACTGGCTATATCGGTGGAAATCGGAACATACGGCTCAGCGATATTGCGACAATTTCCGAGGTATAATTAATCTTTCGGTACGTGTGTTTATATTCACTAGTTTAGCTGACGGATACATGCTACTGTAGACTTAACGTCTGGATAAATCAATCAGCTCCGTGCCTCTTATTGACAGCAAACCTATTTCATTCTGTTTTATCCGGGAATTAATTTCTACCAAAATCGGCAGATACTGTTTATCCGACCTCTATGAGAGTACAAGACACAGCGTGAACAAGGCTGGTTCTTTTTCTCCTCACACGCGGGGAAACGTTTTAACAGAGTGTTTCCTATTTACCAAACGGTGCGTGATTTTGACAGACAGGGACAATCGATGGTGGATGTGATAGGCCAAATTACATATGCTGTTCACCATTAGTGGGTAGTCCTTGGTTCGCCACACAGGCAGAAAACGACCCCATCATATACACTCGTCATTTTTTGTGGTCGCTACTTATTTCACAAATAAACAGGAAATATTATATTCATATTACATATGGTCTTCACGTCAAACCAACTCTACAATTCACAACACGTGAACAAAAGTCGTATATTTCCTAAATTAAATGCTTCCATAGTAATCAATTCGATGTTTATATGTTTCGATTTCAATTTATTTAAGTATCATTCCTATTTAAAACCTGCAGAAACAAAAAACGAAAAATAGGAAGGGGAATAACTCCTTAAACAAATTCGACCTTTTGAAACATTTTTTTATTTTTTTGTACTTAAATAGTTTCATTAAAAAACGGTAAAATGTTATGACGTAAAAAAGAATTCTAGATTCTCATAAAGTTAATAGCATTCACGAATCTCTAGATGGTTACGATCTAAAAGTTATGAAAATTACGTACGTTATGCGAAACAAATAAATCTACGGCTGTAACTGCCGTTATGACAGCTTCAAAAATTCCTGTGTGTGGCATAAAAAATCCAATTCATAAAGCAGTAAGTCACGTTGATAATCATACACGATGTAGCCTATAGCTATATAGCGGGCGGTACAAGGACTAGCAACACTAATAACCCGATGTGAAAAGCGGAGTTCCGTGGAATATCTGCGTCAACGAGAGACGGGCATTCGGGGTGGTCTGGGCCACATAACGACAAAAACTAGAGGCGACCTACCGCAAAGGCTTAAAAACAGAGGTGATCGCAGCAAGACGCTCATTCCGTGTGTTTTTTATTCATCAACTTTGTAGGCACATAGAGGGTACAGGCCTAACCGTCTGTCGTTATCAATTGCGCTATAACGAATGACTTGGGGAGCAGGCTGATCTCTCAATAATGAGGTTTTAATGTGATAGATATAATGATAGATTATCGAATCATATTTCAAAGAATCTCTTGAAATGTTAATTCGGTTTAGACATGATCTTGAAATATTGCGGGTGAAAAATGATTTATTTCCTTAGCCTTCAGATTGTAAATTCAGACATATTTACAGGGACATCCGAGGATAGGATAATTCATAAATTGAAGGCGTGGCATCGCTAGGAAAGTTAAGTCTCCGTTAATTCTCACAATATGTCTAAACGGATGGCGGTTATCGTACCCCATCTAATGGCCATATCCTTTTAGCTTTTTCTCTTACCCGAGCGATTACTGCTGGGGTTTCCATCGTTGCGTTCAATTCCAGTATATATGCATAATGATAATTTGACATGAACTTTTTGTCATAGACATGTTGATTTGGTTTATTGAGAAATCATATTTAAAAGCAGAAAGCCAGTTACAAGCATCAACATTGCAATGCTGTGCAAGCATGATTCGCATATCACATATCTAATGAAACATCCCTAAAAAATACATCTTACCAGTTTTCATCTCTCGTGTTCGGCAAACGTTTCTCTTATATGATACTATTCAGCCCTAGTGTGTGAGTAGGAGCGCAAACACGTACATATCTTTGTAGTTTCTGGTAATGTTCAAGATCGAGCTTGTCGACTTTCTCTCCCATGTCTTCGGGTACATGAATTGATTTAATGTGCCCCTGCATTTCCTTCTAACACTCACCTCGTAAACAGTTTAACTCGAGGAAAAAACAGTAAAACTAGGATCGTTTATAAGACATTAATCCCGCTGTGAGAGAAAGTAAAGATGCTTGATGAAATCTCCCCATATTAAACAAGAGACCACCATAATTGATTTAAACCTACGGACATATAATCATACGAAATCATATGCAAGGCATGTTTTAATGTTTTCAGAGGAACATTAGATGTTTTATTAAGACAGAACAGTTTGTACTTTTGATTGTGTCACTGTAAGATGTACCCATTGTAATGGCGTAAACAATATAAAATATACTCTGGAAATCTTTTCTTTGTAATATTTTTTTAATATGTGAAATTTATTAGTTTGCCCTTAGAAAGCGAAAATAAAGAATACAACGTTTAAAATTCTTTGAAACTGGTGACACTTTTCCTCTGTCTCTTAATAACTCTTCGATGACTCAGTACGGACATTGACACCGCTTTAGCCTTTTATTACGTTTTGTGTTGTTAAATATATCTACATTTAAATAATATTTTATGCATACTATATTCAAAATTTTGTTTAAAGATTTACATTTTTAAACGTTCTAATGTTCCACGGCAATAAAAGCGTAGCTTATAAAATAATGTTGGCTCATTGTCCTATTGCGATAAAAAAGTAGGCTTTCATTAAATAGTGCATCTCGGGTAGAGAAAGAACGTTTAAAGCATATTGTTGTTCTTTTATAGGTAAGCGACTTGCACTTTCAGAACTGTTATAGCTGAAAACAGATGTGAGCTAGGATTATGTCTTAAAGACGTTGTCCAATTATTGTATTACTGGATGTAATGTTGTCGTGAAACCGACAATTCATCCACGCCATCGTAGACTTACATACACACTATAGGACCGTGGCTATCACGTGTGGGAGCCTGGGCATTCTTCTGCTGTAGTTGCACTCACACGTGCAAAGATGTGACGTATAGTGCATGCCTCAAATAGCACCACGTGTCACGGAGTGCTTAAACATGATGACGTCACAGGGGTGTACTGACCTATAAATTTTAATCCGAGAGTTGTGAAAGTTTCCTATAAGAGAAATGACTTTGTAACTTTTACACACGTACATGTGTAGTTTTCATTTTATGTTGTAAATTGCACGGCACACGTGTAGATTGTTTCCAATAATGTATTTTATTTGCAAACTCGGTCCTGTTTCTGCAGCAATATAATTCCTTAAAGCTGTTTATGAGAACGAGTGTCTATTTAAGACAGCTTGTCGTTATAAATCTGTAATAGACGCCTGCTGTTATTTGTATTTAATTGATACGGACGTGTATATTTCACTACGCAAGATCTATAGAACAACTACTTCCGGGTTTTAGATCCATCATGTTATTTAAATAACTTGACTTCTTGGCAAGTAATTAAGAAGTCATATACATGTGTTCGTTTAAATGGAGGTTTAATTTATTTCATTTACAAAATATATATTTAATAAATATATTAACGAGAAACCCGATACTGGTATTCGTTTAAGTGTAGGTTTCATTTATTTTATTTACAAAATTTACATTTAATAAATATATTAACGAGAAACCCGATACCCGTGTCCGATTAATGATTTCATTTATTTTATTTACCGAATTTATAATGAATGAATACGATAACAAGAAACCCAATCTTAGTGCTCATTCAGATAATGTGTTTTCATTTATCTGCAATATAACGAAGAAGACATATTTAAATACCGGCTTTGACTAACTTGTTGTGTAGAAAAGTGCTGAGTGTATAACTGGAAAAAATACTACTTTTTATAAAACAACGTAACCGGTCCCTGTGTCATTCTGTCACAGATTAAATATGATGGGGTAGGTGTATACTTCAGAAATGCGACGGAAAGCCTCTATTCAACGAGAGATTAAGGGGATACGTTCAGTCTAACTTTAAATTTCTAAAAACAAGGTTGAAATGTTTCTTTAACAAACCAAAAGATATGAAAAAAATATCAATCTTGCAACAGACAGGTATAATATACATTAGTGTTCAAAACGTGTGACAAATGCTATATAACTCAGGCAAAAACGGAATCCAGAAAAGATAATTGGAGATGGCTACACAGAGCGTGTTGCTTTAAACTTAATCGGCAGAGATCAAAAGAAGATACTCCTTCAAATTTAAATTGATTTGTAGATTTGATCGTCACGTGACCTTTTCTATAACTCAGCTTATGTTATGGTAGATACAAAGCTGCACCTACATACTCAGGTGCCAGGTAGATGTACATAAAACTGCATCCCCACTACACTCATACATACTCAGGTGCCAGGTAGATGTATGTATCAAGTACACACAGAACTGCATCCCCACCCACATGTACGCCTAGTGCCAGGTAGATACAACCACGTTATCAGTGACAAAGCTATTTATCCTCCGGATCGCCCACAAACCATCGAACACAGTCGACAATAGAAGATGGTGTGGTACTAGGGGTTACTTGGAGTATATACGAGACGTACATATTTGTGTTCCAAGAAAACTAACGAGTCGTGTTTTTGAGTTGTATCGTGTGTATTTAATCATGGAGAATAGTTGTGGATGTCTACTAGGGCCAGCTGAGTACCATATCAGCTTACCGAGTGTCAGGTTACATTTTATTAGCTGAAACATATGCCGGCAACATCTGATCCTAATTCGACGTACCGGTCTGTGTAGACATGTACATACATAAAGCAGGCTGGGGATGGGTAGGGACAACATCGGTTACATGGATGTAAACTAATCTGTTTAAAAAAAAACATGGAAAATTAAATTTGTAAAGAAAAATAGGAAAATTTTCGAAATATGATAGGCTTGTTTAAAGATTAATGAAAATGTAATTTGATATGTATGGGTATTGTTGCGAGTTATTTTTTTATGGGTTTGAATATGCTTACTATTGAACAGGTCCCGTTAACAAATGGTACACAGTGCATCGACAAGTGATGCATGTAACATTTATAGTTCAAAACAGGAACAAAAGCTTGAAATCGATTGCTAAAGCAATTCATACGTAAATACAGAGGAACTTATCCGCATCACTTAACATAGCATGATAGTTACCGAACAAACTCGGGACTGCCGACATTAGAAGTTCCCTCCGTTGACATTTGTCCCATGTGTGTTTATGGAGCAGTCGATTACGTAAGCTAATAAACAATCTATTAATCTCGTGACAGACCACCCTACTAAGCCGGAGGGCATTGGTCAACCGTGGTCACTCTGGGTCCCTTCGACCCCCGGAGGTTGACAGGCAAATTAGGTGGCATCCCCCGCTGGGAGGGGGCATTCAAACACGGCCCTGCTTGACAGTAGGTACAGATGTTTCCGGGATATTTCCTAGGGCTCACAGCACATGGTAGACTTAGGGATGTTGTTGCTATCCCGATATCTCTGAAAATTCCATCAATGTCCATTTCATCTGGAGCAAGCGAACGTGTACACACACACACACACATGTACACACGGGAGACTGGTACAGATCCTAGCGGTCTAAGGGCTATATAGCATACACGCATTTGTTCTGCTACAAGCTACATATATATGTTTACTGCGAGAAAACAATTCTATCGACGAACTACAAAATAGGAACCTTGGATTTTACCATGTCATTGTCTGATGATGAAGATTTCCCCCTCGAATGGGATTTTACCGACGTGAAAGGTAATGATTTGAGTGATAGACCCGGATAATTTACTGTGTCAACCTCATAATTATAGAACGATAATAATTAATGTCAACATTATTCTCAAGTATATAAAATCGCCACTGAGTTAATATTTTAAAGTGAAAAATACCTATTTAGACTTCATTAAACAAATCAAATATTTAAAAAAACGAAATTATAGCCGACACGCATAAATATTTGATTTTTACAAATGTATTTGTAATATAATACCCCTGATCCCTTGTAAAGGAGAATATTATCCTGAACAAACATCAAATGAACGGATCCTTACGGAACAGATTACACGTATTTATGAATTTTGCTGTTTACTTTGCTGTGTCGAAGGTTAGCGTAAATGTGCTTGAATACCCCGTTATGTTTACTGGGTTCCGAGAGGTAATATTGACCGTGTAATTTACTAAGGTGGCACACTAAACGAGCTAATTATAGATAATGTTGACTTAAATCGTGTCTTCGGAGGCGAGAAGACCTTCTGGTTGGGCCGGGACAGATCCCGTATACTGTGGCCGTGTATTGTCATATTCCGGTCTTGTGAGGTGGATTTGTTGTCAATCGACGTCTGTGTTATTTGTCAACAATTTACTGGTATGTACAGAGTGTCTACCTGGAGTTGATGAAATATACAATATACATATGTTTCAATCATAACTTGGACATGTGTGTGTAAATAATTTATTTAAATGTTGTTTATTATAACAGTCAGGGTTTTATTTTATTTTCTAAATTATTACAAATGGTGGCTTTGTTTAGAATATTTTGTATTGTTTACCTCTGAAGTAAGATAAAATCGTTTCTAAATAATATAAACTATGCTTAAAACTGATATAACTATTTTACTTTTACTCGCTCATAGTATTCAGTTTGAAATATGTGATTGTCATATTGTAAATATTGTACTGTTCTGTAGCAAAATTAAAAATATATTTAGTATTTAAAATGGATTTATAAAGCTGTATGATAAACTAGTTAACCTGTTGCATAGTTCATAATTAATGAATTCTGTACAAGTCCCGTTGCGAATTATTATTTTAAAATATGCTGTGAAATGTAAATAAATATAAAAAAATTACTTGAAGTCAACAAATGCCTAGATACGCTATATAGAATTATTATTTATTAATATTACAGAATGTTTTGTTTTTATTTCAGTTATCATATAGCTACTATTATAAACGTTTTACTTACACTGGTAAAATAATATAAATATAGGGTATATTTTTTAAGAGAATTACAGACGGGTAAAAATACCTGAGAAATTTCATATTCTTTCATAAATTTAACAGACAGATTTAATTTACTGTGAACAAAAGTTTTCAGTAACTGTGTGAGAGGCTATGTACTCCCCTATTCAATAGTCTGCTGGGAGTCGCTTTTGTCTGTCGCGGGCATCTGTCAGTGTGTTCGATTCCCCGGTGTCGTCGCACCGATCCTCAATACATTCAGTCAACTCCAAATATTGTCTGTGTAAACATGTCACTTCCAATTACAATAATACGCTTCCGTTCTTTCTGCATTAGTCTTTTATCAACAACTCCATATAGCTATACACATTGTGTCTCTTATAAGACACACGTACCGTTTATCATCATTTTTAACCCAACATTTTCTACTCAAACACTTTAAAAAATATATTATTAAATGAGGTGGATTTTTTTTTATGTTTAAGAGTTTTGTATGCTAGTGTAAATTGTAATTGTATGTGTGTACACTTGTGACGGTGGTGTGACCGATATTTTAGCCTGGGGAATGGTTGTATAGGCATACACGGGAGCGACCATGTGCCTAATTTCGGGACGAAATGGCTATTGTAGTTTTAGCCGGAATATATACTGATAGAGGAGAGTGGAGAAATACAATGAACTAAAATAGCGATAATTTAACCATTGTTCGTGAAACTTACACACCCGATTTCCTCCTCGACCAGTTCGTCTGCCATTTCATCTGTGTGTACATTTTTTAGTAAATTGATCAACGTAGTATAAATACGTGCCATTAAATCAAAAAACCCGTGGTTGAATCGTTCCAAGTCGTTTTGAGACTGATGCCCGCCCCCTCTCGTATCGGGTTCCATGATTGACACGGTTGCCTTGGAGATCAATTTTCTCAGGCATCGTGTGAATAACGATATACCGAGTAGGTCGACCAACCAACCAATGAACGAGGCCCATTCACCCATTAACGAACACTCGTACAGTATAGTATGGGTCTAGATCGGGAACAGACAGACAGATTCAATATCACAACACACTGAAATTGTTGTTTTCTCTTTTAACAGTACACTTTAGACCTGGAAACGGAGCAGCCGTCGGACCCTACGCGGACCTTCCGATGTTACATGAGCCAGCTCCGTCTTCCGGAGTCGGATCCCCGTCTCCGGCCATGCTTCCGTCCTTCGGGTTTACTCAGGAACAAGTAGCTTGCGTCTGTGAAGTTCTTCAACAAGGAGGGAATATTGACAGATTGGCTAGGTTTTTGTGGTCATTACCAGCTTGTGAACATCTACATAAAAATGAAAGTGTATTAAAAGCGAAAGCTGTGGTGGCTTTCCATAGAGGAAACTTTAAAGAACTTTACAAAATTCTCGAAATCAATAACTTTTCGCCCCACAATCATCCCAAACTTCAGGCGCTGTGGCTAAAGGCGCATTACATAGAGGCCGAGAAGCTTCGGGGTAGGCCTCTGGGAGCAGTGGGGAAGTACCGTGTGAGGAGGAAGTTCCCCCTCCCCAGGACTATTTGGGACGGAGAGGAGACGAGTTATTGTTTTAAAGAGAAATCAAGGAATGTACTTCGGGACTGGTATTCCCACAATCCTTACCCGTCCCCCCGGGAAAAGCGTGAGTTGGCCGAGGGTACAGGACTGACCACCACACAAGTCAGTAACTGGTTCAAGAACAGACGACAGAGGGACAGGGCGGCAGAAGTTAAGGATCGGTAAGACATGCAGATCCCCTGTTCCTTACTTTCATTTTTAACCCCACCCCTCCAACTCCCCCATCCACCCTACCAAATACCTCTCCCACTACTCTCCTCGTACACATTTTAATCACTGTTTTGAAACTATCAAACACTATTACTACCCCCCTTCCTCCGCCTTTCCGTTCAGCTCTGTGTCTCGGACACTATTACTTAAACCCCCTCCCCCACTCGTGCTCGTGGTTGTCAGTACAGCAAGCCGGGGAACCCAATGTTTCTTATGTTTCAAGATGGATGTCTTGTTTCAACATGGGTGCCCTATATACACTATTCCAGTATATATGTATTCCCCTACTGCCTCCCCACTCCCCATCCCTAGCCGACGAGATACGCTCCAACTTTCTATTTCTGGCTCGTAGGGTCGAGACTACCACCAGTATCAAATTACACAGCCGAGAACCCGATACCTGCTTATTTTCTTTAGCGCACAAAAGCGTTTGTATTTTACAGTACTAATGACATAACTGTGGAAGTAGGGTGGTAATTTGACTTGTAGTAACGCGATACGCCTGCCCCTCGTCATCATTTTGCCCCAAAGGGTCTAGGGAGGGACTAACTTAATTTTCCGACTGGAAATGACAGCATACTCGGTATTTTTTATATACACCCATTCGAGTTCCCCCTCTATGTCACCCGATATCGTTGTTGTCCAAATTAAGTTATTTCTTGGATAGTGAAGATTACACACTTTTTTTTTATAATTATCATTGTCGACTTCGAGTTGCCCAATTTCACTTTGTCTAAAGATAGTCAAAATGTTGTTGACAATATTTTATTATATGATTATTATAATGATAACATATTGTATTTTTGTTTACTTTAAACTGTTTACTTTTTTAACCTTTCTGCAAGCGCTTTTTATCTTTATTTTAATTTTTCGAATGTTTATTTATCTTTATAATAATAAAATTAAAATAGCATCAGAATTTATGTAACAGACCATTCTTTACTAATTTATCTTTATAATGTATTAGTATCAACAACAACCGAGGCATGACAAATAATGCATTGCTATCACTAACGATGTAGTTTATTTGTAATAAGCATTTTCTTTGTACAAAAAAGAGAGCATTTTATTATTTTAATTATTACTCATACGCTGCCATGAGTTTAACGCATTTTAGTTGCTTATATATACTCCAACTCCTGCCTATTTTATTTACAGAGACGGTTCCGTCTATTTCAGCGATCATTCGCAAGGGGGGCACCAACTCGGACAAGACGTCGGGTCGCCTCAAAGTGATACCACTAAAGATGATCTCAGTGACGATGCAATGTCTGTTCCACAACATATACAGGCCAAACTGGAACCCCAGGAGACGTCCAACTCACACACACATACCCATCCACATAGCTCGGTATATGCTGATCTTCAAAAAGCAATGCCTAGTGCCCATTTACACCCCAGCATGGCAAACAGCGGCCCTCCGCCCGGAAGTGGGGTGCTATCGGTCACAAACGGTTCAAACCAAGATGTCGGACTGTTGCATGATTATCAAACGCTATGAGAGTATTGTCAACATCTTTAACAACAAAGTACTAAAAAAACGTGTGAAAATTTATTCATGATATACTTGTCTGTGAATATTAGTGAGACCAAAGTTTACCATGACGTGGTACAAGTTCTAATGTGCCATAAGTAATAATCAAACCTATAGTATTGCGCATGCTCGGATATGGACCGGAAGTACTGCCAGAAATCAAAATGTCTGTTTCCGGGCAACATGGCGGCCATGCTGCTTGCCAACCTCATCTGACACTATGTTCGTTTCAGTATGGAGATTATACATGGATTTAGCAGAATTTAAATATCATATAACAGAGAGAGTGAAACGGAAGAAACTCATTTTTAATATGATATAGTAAATGTTGTCTGTGGAAGTGTTACGTGCTTGGTTGGATGTTCCCATGACCAAGACTGTGTGATGGAAATCTTAAGCTTTCCTTATTATTTTGTTCTGCAGGGCATGTGTATTGTTTCAAAATTCATTTTACAGAAAATCAAAATATATTAGAAATATCGTTCATTAATTTTAGAATTTAGATCAAGGGCACATGCAATTCTGCCATTAGGTTGACAATATTTTACTCATCATAACAAGGCAAGTTCAAAAGTCTACATTCTCTAAAATGTCATTAATACAGAAACAATTAACATTTTCATAATCATTACCGTTTGTTAATATATGAAAATGTTTTGAATGACTAATCCAAAGTACTTGTATAGCTACAAGAATTGTTTTGTAAAAGAAAATCTCATTTATATGATTATATATGTAGACATAGGAAGGTCATTAAAAATGTATTTTGCCCGAATGTTTTTCCCCTACATATATTGCTATTGAGAATTTTATTCTCAAACCAATTTTGTTTAACTATATGGGCTTGTCGTAATCCACCAAGTGGATGGCAAAAATATTTCATTCTAATGCAACTAATTTTCTGACAAAAACACCTGCTACCCAATATTAATAAATACAATCAAAGTATACGTTCTTGTTAGTTTCATTATTGAAGCATGTATTAAATTAAATAATATTGAAAAAAAAAATGAATTGTTTGTTTATTGATTCAGTCAGTTGTAACAGTAACACAAGACCGGGAATTTGTTGTTTCTTCAAATATTTTTCTTCCCGAATAAGTTTATATAAACTTTAATTTAAATCAATTATGTTTCAGGTATTTGAGTGTTCATAAGGTATTTTTCGTTAACAATATTCAGGCTGTGGTGGTCATTGGTCAAATATGTACTGGACACTTCTAGGTCAGTCTACGAAGCAGAGACGATTTTTTTCTGTTAATTAACAAACCATTACATAGGTTACATTACCTACCCCGCCAGCTTTTGAGAATATCTGTCCTGTATATACAGATTCATGCCGTTTTTTAAAAAGGTTTTTCATTATGTTGAAATGCTTAAGTAAATGAAATAATACATTAACATATGAGTATAAATTAAATGCAAATTTTAAATCGATTTAAATATTGAATTTCACATCCAACTTAAAAAAACGGGAGGGTTTATGCATTGGGATGCCCTGTGAAAGAAAAAAGATTTGTTGTGATGTAAATTTGGTATGCTATTCGGAGCTATGAATCAATATTTTTATAGATAAAAAGTCAGATTTAACCTACTAAATATTCTAGCTGTAGTGTGAGTACATCTGTACCGAGGTACAGTCAGATCTCGTAACCTGATACATACCACACTGTACTCTGGTGATTAATATGGAGTAAATAATGCACTGTTTTAGTGCCCGCTTGAAAGTTAATTATATGATAAGGGGTATCTATAAAAATATGTTAATTACGTGCTTATGTGTATCTACGTTCACTGTTAGGTATGTGTGTATGTTATTGCCAAAATAACGCCGACAAATCAGTGTAGAAAGGAATTTATGAACTTTAGACTCTTATTGATTTCGATCGAGTTCGCAAATTAATGTAGACTGATTTTTTTATAAAATATTTTTAACGTGATCTGCCAAAAACAACTTATCAATATTAATGATCCACTTAATAACTGGAATACATCTTCAATTTGGAGAGTTTTATTTAAATGGGATAACTCGTCTAATTTATATACAGGTAGAGCAGACTGATCCGTTGTCTGAGCACATTTACTGTAAAATTCAGGTATAGGTTTCCATGTGTGAAATTGGCCCTCATACCAAGGTAAAACCGAGTAAATGGTGGGGTAACTAGGGGGAATCGGTACTGATGTCAACAATGAAATGTCAAACACATTTTAACTTTTTTCCTTCTTTATAAACACCAAAACGAAATATAGTTGAATTTTATAAATTTTGGGGCGTTTTCAACTAAGTTCATAAAACATTTTGATTTGTCCTTTGCTGACTGTTGCTCCAAACATTTCCCCATTTAGAACCTCATTTTGGATTTCTGAGTTTTACTTCACCGTCCCAACTTCCCTTTAGCACGATATATATATTGAGTAAAGGTTGGTCAGCTAAGTGTAAATAATCAAAAATTACAACCATCCCGACATGGTCGTTTACCAGGTGACGAGTGGGACCCTCCACGCAGATATTTCTCAATCACAACAAAATAAATGACTGTTTTTCTCTGAGAAAATCAGCGATTTCTCTATTAGGGACCAGAGTCTTCACCGTCAATTACTTAACTAGACAGAGGGCATTAGCTCAGCATTAGCGCTAATTTCCGATGCTGTCGCATTTGTCAGCCACGTTCCCAAAGGCATCTGGCTGAGCAATGTAAATAAATTGACAGTCCCTCCGACGATTTAGCCGGCAACTATTTCACGTTTCGAGCGTATAAACCTTAAATAACCTGACAATTATTCCGAGACGTTGTCCCAATCACTTCTGTCACATGTCGAGAAGGCGTAGTTCTCCATGGCGCTTACAACATTGGAAAGATTCCCGCTTGTCGCTTATGGCATATTTTTTGGTTTTCGAAGGTGTTACATTGTTCCTTCTAATTGGGTCCATTGTCAGTTTCTTGGATATTCTTTAAACTATTAATCATGTTTCACCAGTTCTTTGACATATTCTATACTTCTTGGTGAATAATTGATATGAAGAGACAATTATTGTTAATTTTATTAAAATTGAGAATAATTTTAACACATGTTATTACTTGAAGTTTATATATAAAAATACATCTGATTTAAAGTCTGATTGATATGGGAATTTTGCATGTATTTTCCAAATATTTCTGAGACCATTTTTCATAAAACAATATAAATCATGAAATGACATAATTTAGTTTAAGGTATATATCTAAAGAGGAGAAAACGCTAGGGAAGTCGAAAAAACTATTGTCTTTTATTTTTTATATATATATATATATATATCTTGGCGAGGTTCTTATTCTTCTCTCTCAAAGCATTGACGTACAGAAAACAACGTACTAAATGAACGCAGATTGTGATACAAGATAACAAACTGATTGTCGGCTTAATGTAGGTGTCGCCCACAAAATGGTACTGAAATGCATTCGTGACATTGTATCGTAATTAAAACAATTTGGGCAGTGTCGATGTTGATAAGAACAGGATATGTTATGAATATACATTACTAATATCAATGTTTCTATAAATAGCTCCGCGTGTGGCACAGCTTTGTACAATGACGAAGTCAAATAACAAAGACAAAAATTCCAGGTCGATGAATAATACGATACACCAGGTGACATATTGATTTCAAAACAAAACAAAAGACAACAAGTTTAGTCTAGCCGCTCTTAAACCTCGAGTTTTCTCCTTAAATGTTGGATAGTGATATGCACTAAATGGTAGACTATGTTTATCGTTGAGAGACTAAACCCGGGGTTTGTGTTTCGTACTTATCTGTATACATGTTATATTCACGTCTCTCTGTACACACATACGTTCACTGGAACATTATCCCGTACTGGCGACACACCGTTAGCTGACTGGCTGATGTCCAGGCCAGACTTCGTTAACTTAATTACTTGTTAGTCATATTTCCAAATAGATTTGTTTTGTCCGAAGGTGTTTCCAAAGTATAGATTTTTTTGTAAATACTAATAATTTTGATCTGTTCATGCCGTCAGAAATTAACGCTAACTTTATATATTTCTGCAGCAACTTTTATTTCCTAAACATAATTTAGAATTAACTTTCAGTTTTGGTTTTCATTAAATAGTCATATTAACTTTTATGTTTACGCAGTTTTAGAAATTAACAAACTAAATGATTTAAAAGATACTTCGAAGTGTTCATATGATAATAATTTGAACCAAGTGGGTATCACGTACGTATGAAATCAGTAGAATTAAATTTCCATACAGTCCTCGTCGACAATTATATTGCACATGCTGTTTATTCAGATAAGACATGGCAGTGCCTTGTTACTGTTTCGGTTAAATACAAAAATTAAAAAAAAATCTATTTTATGAAATAAAACATTTCTCCTCGTGTTAATCCTGAATGTATAGCAAGTCTGGATTTTTTGAAATATTGAAATTTGAAATTCTTGAAATCGTTGCTCTGTTAAAGTAATTTGGATGATTTAATTGTAAATCGTCTTTCAGCTAACGACATTACACATTATAAGTCATTATTTACTTAATGTGCTTGACTGATGTACAACCAAAGCCATATCAACTAATCATTAGGTGGAGACTTATTTCTATCTACAACTCAATCTAATTTTTACCTCAAACAACGTTTTCGTAAAAGTCAGTGTTATGAATCCTACGCTGGTAAATTGGTTTATTATTTTAAGTACTGTAATTTTACGCTTGAGATATGCGTAGACACAGTGTGACATACTTAAATGTCCAATAATAAAACAAAAATCGCTATATTTGGATGAGTTTTCAAAACTTAACACTATCTCATAACAGTTAACATTGATGTTTTTGTCGTGTAATATAGAGTTATCTTCTCCTGTCATTATATTTGTTGTCCCATTACATGTACTCGTCTTCATTCCATGTTGCTATTAGAGTTATCTCCTCCGGATATTAAAGATAAATATTTTCGTATGACTTTAAATACAAAACTGTTCTATCAATATTGAAATATCAAGATTCATATATGATGCTTAATATCAATCAATCATTTACACAAATACATAATATTTTTAAGTACAGTGTTTTAAGAAGGGGCAGATAACTGTAGACAATCTGGAATGTCAGCGACACGAGGAAATATTGCTGGAAACAGACGACGTGAAGCACATTGTCTATCAAGTTATATCCTGCTCTATACTCATAGCAAGCATGACAAGAATTTCACTTCCTCAAACATTAAATATCAACATTATGTGATCGTACCTCGATAAGGACCAATCTTGTGTTTATGTGGTATTTTGCGATTCACAACGTTTACCAACTAGTCTACACAATTGCAATGTGATTATGGAGTCAAAAGTTCATGCTAAAATGATGTCATGAATATTTAAACAACAGACGAAATCGCTCTTTTACCGAAATATAATGTCCCGCTTGTCATTTCTACCGCATTGGCCAACACTGATAAATCTAGAGATAGTGCTTAAATATGGAATGTAGCTGGCTTTATATCAAAAGCTCTGACGGAGGTTCTTATGTCAAACCTGACGAGGCCACCTCTGTTATACAATTTGATATAGCCCTCTGACTCTATCGCGCTTTCATCAAATTACAATTTACATTATATATGGGAAACGTCGAATTTAATGCATGTATTATTATCGGTACGAGAGTAAATAGTTTACAACGTAAATATAAAGATGTAAAAGTGAAGTTATACGACGAAAATATCAGCAGAACAAACTCATTGATATTTAGATCTATTTTTAAAAAAACGGCATACATATTTAACAATTTTAATGATAGATTAAGACATATTTATTTTACGCTTCTCTATAGCACTGGGTCAACAAAATGCCAATCAAAGTCAAATGGATAGCACGGGCTTGATAAACAGATCTTGCATTCATAGCACCCGATACTGAAATTAGTCACGCTTTTTGGGATAGCTCGGTATAGAACATGCTATTTCCGTCTATTCTCACACTGACAGTAGATCTTTTGTACGTGATGATTAA